TAGCTGTTTTCGTTCAGGGAAAAATTAAAAAATACTTTGTTCCTAAACTTTTTGCCTCCACTTTACATAGATTATTCAAAATTACGATGCCATTTCAAATACTGGTTTGCAGTTACAAAATTCTACTTCTCAATTCGACTCACGAAATACATTTCTAACTTTTCTTGTACATAATCCGATTTATGAATTGATTTCACTAAATCACTCGCCTTTTAATAAAAATAACTATTTACTGCAGAAAACTAGTGCAACAAGAAACTAAAATTAATAAAATTATTTAACAATTATCGAAATTCCGCTTCAGGATAAACCCGAAAATCAATTGTATTTCTGACTTAGATCAAAAATGAATTTCGATATAAATTTTTGAAGGACCTTAGCCAAAATCTTGTGAGACTTTGTCAAAAGTTCTATTTGTTTGTACAAAGATGCAACCATAATAAGAAGAAAAATCTGGAAGGTTCATAAACACTGTCAGATTCGAAACGAAACATAATAAAAAGTTGAAATATTCTTCCATTTATTGCTCTTGAGATGTTACTCGATACTATTGTTAGAAATCGGGCTGTGATCTAAAGATTTTTAAATCTTGAATAGATCCTGGAAAAAAACATTTAAAATCTTGATGAAACCTTTACATGTATCTTTGTCCGTGTCTTAAACAGGATCAGTCTTCCATCTTGATGGAATCCTTAACAACAAACTATGAATTCAATCTAAACATTAATTTACACAAATCCAAATTAGATTCTTGTATTTTACCATGAAGACTCTGATCATGGTTGGCAATGTCTTGTAAGAAGCTGAGAATGCTTATTCCAGAAAAATTTCAGACAGCATTCTGATTAAATTTTCTCAGTAGAAGTGGTCTTTAGTGTTAATTTATAACATGAAGACAAGTAACGCTCCTTGCCAGGACTCGCTTGATCTTCGACTGACTTCAATCTAGTCATTATTTGCTATTGCTTGCTATATTCTGCTTTGAGTATTATCGCTGAACGAACACGCGCATACTAAGGTCTGTCTATACAATTGTCACTGGAGCCCATTTTATAACAGAACCATACATGTCAAATTTCAAAGTTGAACTTAACTTTCAATAATTGAATAAGTGAAGTAAAGATATTCAACTATTTAATTATTGCTGACGCGAAAGCTTGATACACTCAACAAGTAGTATCATGATGTCTCATTTCTTTTTTGTTTATTCCCTAATTCAAAGTTGTCATCGTGAACATTTACCAGAGAGAGCGCTTTTCACGCGTGTCTGGCCTTTCAAATCAGCGTCGCGATGTTGGAATCGCGAAATACTCTCTGAAGAGCTGCGACTCATGCGCAACTCTGTATATGCAGTGCCTGTAACATCCTAGGTGATTCGTTTGTAGCACTTGAGGCAATGCCTGTAGCATCTCATGATAGTTGAATATTGAAGTATCGTTACTTCAATCATTGAATAATTGAATTCAACTTGCAAGCTTGACACTAATGAAAATGATCGGACCTTTCTATATTCTGCTGAGATCCCCTAATATGAACCTTACGAGGGAATGCAACGAACTGGTCAATCACTTTTCATTTAAGAATATGCGCATCATTTAGTTCCTCATGAGGTATGAATATCCTGAAAAGAGTTTGGAGCAATAGCTTATTGGTGCTGAGATACTGCATTTTTACGGTATTTTTTTACTAGAATGCTGTGATCCCCTCAGGAGCACGAAGACAACTAATTTTCGAATCTGAACTTCAAACTTTGCACATAGACAGGCCTTAACGCAAATAGTTTATTGTAAAAGTTCCACATCTTTTCGTTGTTCTTATCCTAAGATACGACTATGGTAAAAGCTGTCTTTTACATCGCTCATATACACGAGTAGGTTCGATGTTCATATTTCAGGGTACAAATTAATCAAAAGGTCTGGAACTTTCGCAATAAACTATTCTTGTTAAGGCCTGTTTCTGTGCAAAGTTTGAAATTGGGATTCGAAAATCAGTTCTCCTAATGTTCCTGAGGGAACCACTGCATTCTATTAAAAAAAAGTACCGTAAAAATGCAGTATCTCAGCACTAATAAGCTATTACCCCGAACTCTTTTCAGGATATTTATGCCTCATGAGGGACTACATGATGCACATAGTCTCGAATGCAAAGTGATTGAACAGTCCGTTCCATTTCCTTGTTAGTATACTGCTTGCATTATGGCATCGGCGACACTACGGATCTTCACTAATGAGTGCTCCATTTCGTGCTTGATTGGCTACCATTTATACCAATGCTTTATTTTCTTGTTCAAAACATCTTTTGGTAGTGCCGAAAAAAACCTATTAAAATTCACTTCTTATATACATGATGACCCTCAACTGTCTGCAGTGAATGTAATAAGAGGATTGATAAACGTTAAGCAGTGGGTTGAAAATTTTAGATAGTATCGTGGGAATGGAACTAAAAGATATGCGCTCACCATTCTCATGGACTCAGTTCTTTCCATCCTCTTCTCATAGCCCACGGAAAGTGATTGGAAAATTGCTGTATGAAGCCTCTGCTTGATATTTGAAGCATCCAGAAATTCTTGTTGTTCGAGCTATCCCAACCAATAAATTACGTATTTTCATTTGACATGTATGAACTATGCGAATAGATATTCTCATAAACAGTGGAAACCTAATTAAGTTTCTGGTTCTACACATTTTCAATGCGAACTCATTTAATAATTAGTATATTGGTAACTCTTATCATAGTGATTTGTTAAACCTTTTCTGAAACATTTAGAGATGATGTTGTACTTCAAGATAGGTATGTTGGTCTATTCTCGTCATACTTGTTCGATCGGTAACATTTCTGATATTCTCACACAGCAAGCTACATTTTCTTCACATTTTTCCGCAGGTCTTCTTCCATATGAAGCTACAAGTTTAGCTTCAAGTCAAAGATCATGTCTATTCTTGCTTCGTAAATCCTTATTGTTACGTGTTTGTTTCCTATAAAAATTCATAATACTTCATTGCAAAAACAATTTCATAAAACTCTCATGAAAACATTCTCCTCGCTTTGCACACAGCTTTTGACATTTTTATCACGACAGGATTTTACGAATGCAACAGATAAATATTTACAAGCCTTATTCATATACAATAGGATGATATGAAACCTGATAAAAAGTTTTGATTCTCAATCGGTTGATACGAACAACAAAAATCAAGCACACTAAAGTAGTTTTGATCAGTCTCTCACGCAATTTAAGAAAACGTAATAGATGTCCAAAAGCTTAATTTTGATCTGTGTGCTTCCACAAAATCTCTTCCAAAAGTTTATTAACATTAGAATATTTCAATTTCGTTTGCATACATTCCCATTATGAGTACTACTGCTAAACTTAGCATATTTATTTGTAGTACATTCCTTTGAAACGCAAATACTTTGAATTCATCCATCAATTTCAACGAAAACATCATCGGATGGTCTGGACAAGTGAGTTCTCTCAGACAGTTACAAATGAAGCAAATTTACATTTTAATCTCCTTATGACCTATAATAGTTGTAGACTACGCACTACAATATCAAGACAATAAAGCTTCAAATCCAGCTTATCACAGATTTAAAAAATTAAAAAAATGACGTTAAAATAATGAGACTGCTATAAAAATTCATATATTTCAAATTCATCGAGCTACGTGGATATTGGCATCAATTTCATTCGAAAATTTTCACTAAGAAGTAAGTTTATTGCATTTTCTTCATGATAAAAGTCCGTGATAACGAATGAATTTTAAAAAGATCAATTTTTGTGTCGAAATCATCAACCGAAATGCCATTTTTTGTTGATTTTGACAAAAACATTCATGAAAATCATGAAACTATTTTTGATTTTGTTAATTTTCTGGGTAGCTTCACAGATAACAATCGTACATACAAGCAAGTAAAACATGACGATATAAAAAACTGTTAGCAACATGAGTAATGTCCTCTTTTTCCAATTAAATAAAATTACCTCGCTTCAAACTTCATCACACAACTAATTTTTTCCGTGTTCATTTAGAAAATATGTTGTTGAGAGAGATTTTTCTTCAAAGCGCACTGTACTTATTAAAGAATAAATTCATGAAAATTTCTGGTTAGTCAATAATAGTGGTTTTTGATCATATGATAGTCTTAGAGATATTTGATTTTGTAGATAGATTCGGATTCATTGCTGTAAGTAGTAACGAACAATGTCCGTGGGTCTGTTCATATTGTTTTATTCTTTCATTTTCACTGATGGAACACACTTCAATGGAGGAACTATTAGATGGGTTTCCATTGATCCTTATGATAATTCCACTCCAGTCGATATTACGGTTACACAGTCTTATTCATGGGCATATTCACTTGTGATATGTGCCAACAATGTACCGATCTCAACTCCCGGACGGGGTGGTACAAATACTAATCTGGCTTGTGTCGTTGAGTGTTCGACTAATGGTGGTTATTCTAGTGCACCCATTGATATTCTCACCGATTGTACATCAGCTAGTTGATCATTGCAAATGATGAAAAGTGAACGATCGAAAAACGTCACACTCTCTGTTGATGTATATTTTTATCTATCTTTTGAGGGATCTGCGTGGGCACCGTTAAATGACCCCCCCTCAATCAAATCTTTATTGGTCTATTGTAACATATATTGATCTTCGAAAGCGACCAGATGGTTTCATTAATACTCCAACTGTTGCCAGGTTTGTTTCTCCACAATATGCTCTTGTCAACACAGAAACATAAAGTACTATTCCTGTTTCGGATGCCAATTCCAGTGATGATGTACGTTGTCGATGGTAGACATATACAGCTGGATCCGACAGACGAAAGCGATCAGACGAAAAAAGACATGCAAATAACCGTTACATTTCTCACAAGTATAAGGAAAAAATTGATGACAAAGAAATGACGGATATCAGGAAAAAAGACAGACTTGTTCCAGTGGATGTATGCTTAATAGAAGCTGCACTAATTCTGCATGCGTAGGGACCATGTGCCAGAATGCACAATGTCAAAGCGCGTGTTGTGACTACGAAACGACATCAACATCAACAACGAATACAACAACTGCAACGACTACAATAACTGCAACAACTACAACAACTGCAGCAACTACAGCAACTACAACGACTACAACTACAATTGACGGTCAAGGAATACTACTATCGACTTTATCGTATTCAATTCGTCCACCGATTGATGAATGTGAATGGTATTTGTTATCCAAGCGTCGTCCCTGCTAATACAACTCTGTCGAACTGTACTATTACATTCACAGGTCGTAAAGCTGGCGTATGGTATGCAGCTGCTGTTCAGCTAAGCAGATTGTTATTTATACATCACTAATTCATTAGGTATGGTCAGGATATTATTTATTTTTATTGAGCTCTGACGAGCATCATTTAAATCAAAATTCATTAACTCCTATCATCGAAAAATAAATACCCTACTGCACATGCTGTGGCACTATTTTCTGCATGTTTCCAACATAAAAATGTTCTTTACCGCGTGAAAATCTGTTTCATGTAAAGTACGGAGTTGTCGAATTCTCTGTCTAAGAATTCATGTCGTAGTAGTATGTGTAAAAGTAAAAAAAACATTTAAGATGGTCTGATTTGATGAAATGAGTCCACATCAGAGGTCCAAGCAGAGTGGCTTTGTGAAGGTCTGCCTACTTTTTTAAAGCCCATATCATGATAGTAATAGAACGTTATTAAGTATTGATCTTCATAGAAAGCCCAATAAGTTAATGGAACCAATTTAGATAACACGAATAAATACTCTCTTATGTGAACATCGAAGAAAATATTTTAAAATGTTAACTAGACAGAGATGTTCTCTTTTTATATGCGCACCAAAGCACGTAAAAATACGAGCATGAAAAAAATGTGAACTTCAGGAAGCTTGAGGGTGTGGGTGTGGGTGGGTGTGGGTGGGTGTGGGTGGGTGTGGGTGTGGGGTGAGGGTGTGGATTCACAGCAGATTCACACCCACACCCACACCCATTATTCTACGATCAAAGATAGATTGATCTACCTTATAACAATATGTCGTACAATAAGCTAGTTTTGCACTCAAAAAACGGCACTTCCTTTTGAAGAGTTTATAGAGATATCATGAAGTCTTCGAGAATTTACGAGCGAAAACGGTTTATGGCCGTTTGGGTATATGGAAAAGAAAAGAGTACGAGATCCCTATTCAAGGGTTTATAATTCTATGTTTAGGGATAGATGCATATATGGATTCAAGAAAACTGTTCATGAGCTCAAAAGTATCTACGAATAAGGCTATGTGAAACGTAAAAAATGTAGAAAGCCCTCGTTTAAGAGTAAGTTGTGCTGCAAATATTCCAAAACTGTTTATTGTTCTACAACTAACGAGGGAAGGTCCCCAAGTGTGAGTCTCCGTTTCGAATCGGGTATTTGTTATTTTGTAGAGCTCAATGAGTACAGTACCCGCGTATAAAGGAGTTCTGCCCATGGTGAACTTTTCAGGGACAACGNATAAATATGTGATCTTAATATTAAGTTTTAATAGTCTCGTAGTGATTAGTATAAAAATAAACTTTACGAAATGCTGATGCAAAGAGAAAGAAGTCTAAAAAGTCAAAAAAGCTTGAAAAAAAACCATGAAAATTTCTCGAAAAATATGATAGTAGAAGCCAAGTTTTAGACGATAAGTTCGTCAAAATCAATTCATTTTTTGATAAATCATAGATGTTCTGAAAGAGGAGACTTCGGTGCATCTTCCTATGATAAAACTTCAATATCGACTCGTCTCCGAGAAATTGGATTTTCTGAGGGGGGGGGGGGCCCTTAATATGATCATTAATACTGCGGGAGAACGTGATAATATCATCTAAATATACTAAACAATGATGACCTAATAAATCTCCTAATACTTCATTCATGATTCTTTGAAAAACAGGTGGACCATTGATTAATCCTTGTGGAAGAACATTGAATTCGAACAATCCATACGATGTTGTGAATCCCGTTTTCTGCTTGTCTCGGGAGTCAATTGGAATTTGATGGTATTCACATTTCAGATCGAATTTAGAATAATACCGAGCTCCAGCTAATTTATTAATAGTATCATCCATTCGAGGAAGTGGGTAGCTATCTCGAATGGTAATAGAATTCAATTTGCGGTAATCAACAACAAATCTTGGACTACCATCATGTTTCTTCACTAGTAAAACTGGTGATGCCCATGGAGACTGAGATCTACTGATTTGACCATTTCTTTCCATTTCATCGGTTAACTCTTTCTGTTGTTGTTTGATCGATTCAGGGACACGGTATGGCCGTTGATAAATAGGTGGATGATCTTGTGTTATTATTCGATGTTTTGTTTTCAAATCTGTAGCTTGAGATGGTTTACTAATATCAAAAACTTTCCATTCTTGTAATAATATCGGATGAATTAATTGTTGATGTTCTGGTTTTAAATGTTTAATTAATCTATTAATATCTTCTAAAATCTTATGTGGTATAACATCATCAGATTTCAATGATTCAAATGATTCAGTAACATTACAACAAAGATTAGTTAATGGAACGTGACGAACTTTACCTATTTTGGAATTTTTTGGTAGTACACAATCAGAATCTGTATGATTAACAATATATAACGTTGTTCGATGATGGTATATATTCAATAAACTGTTCTGAATTAATATCGAAAGATCTTCTTGTAATTGTTGTTGTGGACGGAATATAACAGTGTCGGCATTTGAAATTGATGGACAAATAGCATCAACTGGTTGTACGGTTCGTGATTTAATAGTAACATCATGTACTAATCGAATATTGTATTGTTGACATATATCACCACTATTATCATCATATGCTGGTATATATCGAATGGATCTGGGACCATTACGAGTCATGATGGTAATACATTGGTCTTTACAATTAAGAATGGCTTGATGTTTCTTAATCCATGTTTGTCCTAAAAGTAAATCAATGTTGGTTTGAGGTGACACATAGATTATTTCATCCGACAAGTTTTTATCGAAATCGATTGTTAATATCACATAACCAGATACGATAACTTGTGTACCATTCATAGCTTGAAAATCTTTATTAGCCGGATGTATAACAGGTTGTGGAGAAATTTTGGCTAAAGCTTCTGGACTAATAAATGAATCATCAGAGCCCGAATCAATCATTGTTTTCATAAGATGGTTATTAACTAATAAATTAATACAAGATGATGCAAGTGTTTTGGTTGATGTTGTTGACGAGGAGTTTTTAAAATCGGTTAATTTTATATGGCAATTTTGCTTCATTTGATTATCCGTAAAACATTTATTAGACTTAGATTTTAATGATGATTGAAGATGTTGTGGTGGTTTTAATTCATTGCTTTGGAGAGCACGCCTATCACTACGTGACTCCTGATTTAGTTTAAACGTTGTTTTGATTTAAAGCAATTTGTGGCTTTGTGTCCAAACTTGCCACAATTATAACATTGAATGGATCGTTGTTGCTGAGTACGTTGTTGGTTATAATTTGATGATGAGCGTGAAGGTAGATGATACTGTTGTAACTGATTACTATGATATGTATTATTACGGTATTGATCAGATTGTTGAAGAAAAGGTATATTTGATTGAAGATTGTTTGTTGGTAAAAATGTTGTTTGTGATATGGGTGTTGCCCTTGCTATTGGTAATGGAGCATTCTCATCTATACTAGTAACATGTTGTTCGAAATTTGTCCGTTTACGGCGTTCTTCAATTTTTTGCAATACTTCTAATAATTCTTTTGATGTTGAATATTCTCTAATTAATAATTGATCTTGAATACTATCAGGTAGACCCCGAATTATATAATCAATACGATGACGATCTGAAACTGGATATTCTACTTCTAATAAATCACATTGTCTCATGACATCAGAATAATATTGATGCATTGGTTCATTATCATGATAGTGTCGATTTCGAATAGCATCTTCGAATTCAATACGTGATGGGTCCTTCTTTCCTTCGAATCGACTAATTAATTTTCGTTTGAATTCGTTCCAATCTAATTTTTGACGACGAATAAATTCCAACCATTTGTCATCAATATTGGATAACAATTTCAGTGTGCGGTAGCATTTATCATTATCAGTAATAAATGCTTTATCATATACAAGTTCGATTTCTTCTAGCCATGAATTAATCGATTGTGATTCTTCACCCGAAAATCTTGGTAATGCTTTTAAATCTTCCAGTACTAAGGCATGATGAGCTTTCAAAGCCAACATGTCTGACGAATAAGTTGTATATGGTTGAGGTTTCGTACAAGAATCAATTAATGTATTAGCAGGTGAATTCATAGGGTCTTGTGTAGTTGTAACTGATCAATATTGATCGATCATTAATCTTCGAAAATCTTTCCAGTTGATCATTTGATCATCATTAACATATACAAACTGAGCAGCATGATCTAATAGATAATACCGTGCGTTTGATAATTCACTGACCAAAAAAAAATTTGAATATCTCCCTTACGGCTCAAGCAAACGAGCTGGTTTTTTTATCAATGATAGAGGAATGTTCAAAGTTTATATCCATAAAGACATGTCTAGAGAAACCCTTTGTTAAGTATTACTATTGGCCTCAACAAAAAAGTTTTACTTTTTCACAGATAGAAAAAAAACAATATACTTAACAAAGGGTTTCTCTAGGAATGTCTTTATGGATATAAAGCTTGACTGTACCTCTATCACTGGTAAAAGAATCAGCTCATTTGCCTGAGCTGTAGTGGAGATATTCATTTCTTGTTGTCGGCAGAGTGACTTTTTCGCCACTTTGTATACTATTTTTTCCCATCTGTGAAAAAGTAAACTTTTTTTGTCGAGATCAATAGTGATACTTAACAAAGGGTCTCTCTAGGTATGTCTTTATGGATATAACCTTTGAACATTTCTCTTTCATTTAAAAAAAAATGCTCGATTTGGTTGAGAAATGGTTGAGATATTGAATTTTCTTTTTGGTCAGTGAATTATCAAACGCACGGTATTTAGCTTTATTGGCCCAAGTACTTTCATCATATTTCAAATCGATAAATACACTTTTAATAGCCATCAACCAAGCATATATGTTCGTTTTTTCAGCGCAATAAGGAATTCTGACTAATTCTTTATCTTCATTGCTATTAGTTGAGTGGTTTGTTGGTTGGGCTTGTGATGAAGTCGGAATAGTTCTTAATATTTGTTTATCAAATTCTAATGATGCGATCATTTTCGTTTCCATTGCATCGGTAGGAGTGAGCGATGAAGAATTAATTTTGATTGTTGAGGAGTCTGTCTTAATTGACTGGCATGATATACTTGTATCATACGAATTCTCTGTATTTTTATTTTGATTTAACATACTTGATGGATTCAATTTATCTTCTGCCATTTGATTCGATATTACTTGATGAATACTTAATTTCGACAAATCTAAACTGGTTCTTGTTTGTACCATACAAATTAATGTTAAATATTTTGTCTTGTGAATTTCGTAGTAGTCTGATTTGTAAACCTTCTTGAAACTCAAGAAGCCGGCCTGGTGCACCAATTGTTAGCACTGGTTATACAGTTTTTATTATCAAAAAAATGAGACAGCATGTGTATTTATAGGATCGTGTCATATGTTAAACAATAGTACAAAGAATATGATCACGCCAGACGTGTTGAACAACAGCACAAAGAATGATAATCACACCAGACGTTGAGCAATAGTATAGCAACGATGGTCACGCTAAATGTAGAAAAATAGACAATTGGAAGATAATATGATAGTCAAGGGTCACCTCGATAACACAGAGATATTTAAAAAAGTCGCGCCCTCTATAATACATTCTGTCTAGTATCTGAAGAATAGCTTTTGCTGAAACGCTGCTCGTCGTACTTGTGAAATTAGAAAACACAAGCTTCATGTTTTTTTTACAACCATCAGTCTAACGTCCTTAGTTTAACGAAGTCAGTACTATCACTGTTTTAATGGTTAGATTACATACAGTATCTGTATAGAACGTTGCATGGTAGTTAGTATTGATTTATTGTATAATTAAACTCGATGATATAAATTCAATGATTTTAACAGAAATTATCTTAGAACATCTTATTCACAGTAGAAAATAATACCCCTGTGGCTCATTATGATCGAGTATATGGATGTACGGGTAAGTGGACAACTGATTTTTTTAAAGGTCGATTCGTTTTTCATTTAGTGTGACTTGAAAATTGTGCGCTTAGTGAACCATGGAGTTGAGCTTCGTTGCCTGTTTTAGTCATAAGTGTTACATTCAACACAAAAAACGTGATCTGTTCTTCTATCTTAAAAACATAAGCTGATATTATACCCGGAGACGCAGAATGTCATTGAATAGAATTAATATTTTTAGTTTTTCTTCTCGCTGTTCAGTTTATTTTATGCATCGTTTTGTAGATGGTGTTGATTCCTTGACACTATTTCTACTATAGAAAACTCGTGTCAGATAATGTAAACGTACAGATGTAGAATACAACACTTTTTCTAAATTATTGACCGTGTATCGAACAAAGAAAGTTGTAAAAGTAAACTTTTTTCAGCATCATCTTTTTACTCATTATGCTATCAATAGAATAGAGCGGGTATATATATACATACGGTATACATATGTGAGTGCAAAACATGTATATTTATTTTATCTGATACATATTTCTATGCTAAAAATAGTTGAATAAGTTAAAATCATTAGCAGCTATCCACTCAAATTGCTGTCATACTGTGTTCATAGGTACAGTACCGTCAGAATAGTATAACTACTGAAAGACTCCAGTTCTTGTCTGTGTCTATTTGATATTATGTTTACTACAGAATTCCTTCTAGATGAGCAGTTAAAAAAACATATTTTTCAAGCGTGATTTTCGACTTTGTAAACAAAGGTCCCAATTGGGTTATCTCATATACAGAGCATCGTCAGCTTGAAGTTTGCAATGCCAAGATATGCATTTCTCAAAATAGCTGTTTCACAAAATATTAAAGCGTATAAATTTTGAGAAATTCATACCTTGATTTTGCGATCGTCAACATGATGGAACTTTGTATATGAGATAATCAATCGAGCCCTTTATGATTAAAAAGTTAGAAGTCAAATTTCAAAAATATGATTTTTTCTTAAACTGCACGCTCTGAAGAAATTCGGTACGAGACATTATATCAAATAGACATGGACAGGAATCGGAGTCTTTCGGCAGTTATTCCATTCTAATGGTACTCTACATATGAACACAGTATGAAAGCAATTAGAACCGATTATCTATAAACCTTTGTTGGTTGAAATTCAGCGCTTAGATTTTGTTAACGTTCTCTCTTCTCTCTATGTGTGGTTCGATAGAGATATATGTATTCGTATGTCCTTGATGTACGTGGACTACTTTTATTGAAGAAAATATAACAACTGTTTTTATAACGATATGGATGAATACATATGTAAAGAGAAGAACGAGAAGAACGAATAAAAGATAAAAGAGGGATGAAAGAAGATAGAGGATAATACTAATATAGAGTATATGTGTATACAGGCGACATCACTGTAACCGATGTGCAGCTGCAAGTGCTTTTAAGCGCTTAGATTCCTATTCTTAAGCGCTTTTAGGTAGCTTCAAATGTGCGCTTACAAGCGCTTATTAAGCAAAAAATTTGAGCTACTTTAAGCTAGCTTTTTTGCTTAAATTTTCACGTGGGTCGACATTAAGCGCTTTACTAAGTAAAAGATTTGGAATTGCATGTAGTTACATAGGAAAGAGTACAATCAAAATGCATAGCCGCTAAGAAAATATCGCTGCTATATCTTTAGCACCTATAAATTCATAAGATTAAATAAATCGTTATTAGTAACAATATAATTCTTTCGAAGCGCTATTTGGCATCAATTTATGCAAAACGATTTTTAAATCCGAAAAAAGTAGCTCTTAAAGGTCATGATAGAAATAACAGCTTGGCATCTAATATGCATGCTTCGTACATCTAAATCCTAATTGAATGTAATTCCGAGTGAAAAACTAATATTTTAGTCTCATGAGGAATACTTCATATGCTTTTGATCACTTGAATATTTTTGCAAACAATAAAATATTTGCAATGAGCACAGTCAACAACCGCGAACTATGAAGAATTTTGAGAGAAATAAAAGAAAGAATCTTTTTCTCGATATATGAGTGGGTTCATTAAAGGAAAAATGGAGTTTCAATGACATAAAAAGTAAAGTTTTGAAAAATAATTCTAGTACAATACTGATTCTCAGGTATCGGGTGTGGGTGTGGGTGTGGTGGGTGTGAGGGTGGGTGTGGTCTCTGTGGGCGGGTGTGGGTGTGGGTGTGGATTTGTGGATATGACTATTCTTTTCATCTGCGACGGCACCCACAGCCGCACTCACACCCACACCCACACTCACACCCACACGCACACCCATCCACACCCACATCCACCCCCCCCCCCCCCCACCCCCCCCCCCCACCCCCCCCCCCCCCCCCCCCCCCCCCCCCCCACCCCCACCCACCCCCCNATTCGAAAAAAAATCGATTCAGCACTCCTTATGATTTTATAGTTTTCATTAAAATAATTTTAAAAAACTCAGACTCCTTCAAGTCCTGAGCGTGAAGCATCATTTTTTTTCACTTTCTAAATATTACAGATCGATAGAGCATGAAAAACTACATATATGAAAAAAATTTGGTATTGCTTCTAGCCTTTTCCATGAAGTAGCAGGAAGCCAAAAATAGCATATAGCATGAAATAAGCAAATTTGGGCCCCCTGATCTCAAAGTATTGGACAAAATCATTATGAAAATATAATTTTCTGTTCATTTTCAAATAGAACATGTAGTTTTACATATATAGCGTACATTTCTCATAAATCTGAGGGTTCAAGGGGTCTAACAGTAGCCTAAAACTGAAAATTTTAGCTTTGAAGGCCATCTTGAAGTATGAACCGTTTTCAGCTAAAACAACATCTAATGACCTTTTAATGTTAATATAAGTAATCAGCACACTTAACCCTATGAATCAGATTACATTTTATTTGAATCAAGAAAAAAAACCTATGATACATGATCAGGACCTATATCTCACTTCAATTCAATCAAAAAAACTTGATTTCATTGGGGGCAGAAAAACGGCCTTATCGGCCCTAGTCCTTTCATAGGCCAATGAGTTTCAGTCAACATATGCAAGTATGGGATGAAGACAGGGTTACCAAATCTCCTGTTTTGACCAGGGATCTCCTGATTTTCGAACTTTTCTCCTGGCAAAAAATCTCCTGATTTCAGGAGCTGATTTTTATGTTTTCTCCTGATTTCTCCTGATTTTTTTATGTGACGATTAGCGACATTTTGAACCTATAGCGATTTTAAAGAGAAAACAACAAATCTATGGAAGCGTTAAACAGATATAAGAACCAATAAGGAAATATATTGCCTTTTGTTTTTCTCGAATCAAAATTGATTTTCAATTAAATAAACAATTTTGTAGCATTTTCTTGTAGAAATCGATATAGTAATCAAAGAAATATCTTTATTTTAAATGTTTTCTCCACCAATAGCTGATATTATTGAGATATCAAATTCATTAGATGGCGATTTTTCCTTACAAGTTAATCCATTAACTGTGAAAGAAAGTGTTACTGTTACACCAAAAACTACCGCAGCTGCAACATCTACCAACTCATCATCATCATCATCATCATCAACAATCAATAAACGTTATTGTTCAAAATTTAAAAAAGAGTGGTTATTCAATTCGAGTTTCTCTACGTTTTTACGAGAATGTAAAACGGATCCTACAAAAGCTTTATGTGTTGTTTGTAATATACAATTTTCCATTCAAAATAGTGGAGTTGGTGATATTAATCGTCATACAAAATCGAAAAAACACCTAGAGTATTTGAAATCAACTGAATCTAATCGATGTAAGATTTATCACTATTGATTTTACTAATAAAAGTACTTTTGAATTTTTTTCAGCAAAACCTATTTATGAAACATTTCATATGGCAACATCAGAACTTAATAAATTGTGTGCTGCAGAAGGCACTATGGTTTTTCATGCTGTTCAGCACTCTCACAGTTATATTTCACAAGACTGTACAATTAATTTAAGTAAAAAATGCTTTCCAGATTCTTCAATAGCAAAAAACATTACTTGTAATCGAACTAAAGTAAAGATAATATTATTTATGCTATATTGTTGATACAGTAATATTCATTGATCCACTAGGCTCGTGAAATAGCATGTAATGTACTTGCACCATCGATTACAAATTCTGTTGTTCTTGAATTGCTTGATGTTGCATTTTTCTCTGTTTGTTATGATGCTTCCAACAAAGGAAATGCTAAAATGCTTCCAATCGTAGTTCAGTTTTTCTCAAAATTTGGTGTTAAACATGGGATTCTTGAGTTCATTGAACAACAACATGAATCAGCTGATGCATTATTTAATAATATAAAATATGTGATAGAAGCAAATGGTCTTAATCTTAATCAACTCGCTTCAATTGGGTCCGATAACACCAACGTGAATGGTGGTAATAATCACAGCGTATTTTCTTTATTTAATAAGTTGTTACCTCATTTAATTAAAGGTAAAAAATTAGACAATTTCGAAATCTGTACAAGTTATCTCCATATTCTTTCGTTTTAGCCAATTGTTATTCTCATATTCTTCATAACTCAGTAAAACATGGAAATGAATATTTGTTGTTTGATATTGAAGGTGTATTATTAAAGATATATGCGCATTTTGGTAGATCATCAGTTCGTTCACAAGAGCTTGAGAAATATTTCGAATTTGCTGAACAAGAGCAAAAAGTAATGAACTTTATTCCAATACTTGCTGTTCTTATTGATTATACGATTCTAATTTTTGAATATTCTGTTGACAATCTTCTTTAATTTAGGTAATTCTTAAACACATTCGAATACGATGGCTTAGTCTTTTACAATCGATTGAACGTCTTATTGCTGTAAATCCAGTTATTAAAAGTTATTTTTTAAATCTTGAAAACAATGAATGTCCGGACTTGTTGTTGAACTTTTTCACTTCAAATAAAGGTAATGATTTCTGTGTGAAAACGTACGTGTTAAGTTATTGCTTTCTTTACAGGTGAATGTTCATTGTACTTTTTAGCGAACATTTTACCAGAAGTGCAAGCTGCTAATTTATCATTACAACGTGAATATACAACTGGTGTTAATTTACATAATATCATTACAAGTTTAATTCGTAAACTAAATAACCGTTTACAAGATGATTTTTTTGGTTGTAAAGTTGGTCAATTATTGAAAAACATTCAAAGTTCGATCGAAGTCGATGATTTAAAAAAATCTTTCAGATCCTTTATTCGTTCAGTTATCAGTTATATTGAAAAATATTATAATAATAATGCATCATTTTACGAATCGATTTCTATTTTTAATGAAATAAATATCGAGAAAATCGAATGAAAAAAATATTCAACATTGTTCCAATTATATTAATGATGAAACGTTAGATCTAGATGGTTTATATAATGACTTTAATAATATAAAATCGAAATATATTGAATTGAAAGAAAAATACGGTGAAATTAATAAGCAAATACAGTCATTTCTCTCGTCAAATTTAGGTGTATCAAAACGAGCGGAAGCACGAGTGAATGATGGTGATAGTCAAAGTTTATGTGAAGATACACATGATTTTGATTCCGATGATGATGAACGTGATGCTAAATGTCATAAAAATCAAAAAGAAAATCATCCAGTGAGAGTTGATCATTTGTGGGCGTATTTACTTGATGGTGAAAGTGTTCCTAACTTAAAAAAGCTTGTTCAATTTGTATTTTCTATTCCTGCTTCAAATGCATTTTGTGAAACAATCTTTAGTCATATGAAATATTTATGGAATGACAACAGAAATCGAATGAACCATGATTTAGTTGGAGCTGAGTTAAAGATTAAAATGAACACTCATTTTACTTGTACACAATTCTATGATTATCTTTTAAATGAACCAGATCTTTTGAAACAGATTCGATCGTCAGATAAGTACAGTCACGTCGCAAAAGTGCCACGAATTGCTGAGTAAATTGGTTACGTTTTTTCAACTTTATATTTATATGTTTTGATTTTGATTTATAGTAATTCGAAGCTAGTTTTGATTTTCTATTTTTCATGTATTCTAATAAACGCGTTTTAATTATCTATTGAAATAAACTTTATGAAATCAGCATTGTATTTACAATTTTAATTCGCCTACAAGGAATTTTTTCAGCATCAATCTCAGTAGGAAAAGAGGTTAATGCGTCTATTATTGAAAAGTGGGTTGTTATCAGATAAAAACCATCGAATGACTGTTCAATATCAACAAAAAATAGTCCTGATTTTTCTCCTGATTTAGGGAAAACATTCTCCTGATAAACTCCTGATTTTTCACAAAAGTATCCTGATTTCTAAAATTTGAATTTGGTAACCCTGAACACCACCCCCCTTTGAAGATGAACGTCCTCGGTCATTCATAAGGTAAAATCCGTTTATTTCCTCTTGTTTGGTTGAAACCAAAGTAAACTTGTCGAAATGAAATGAAGATTATGATTTAATCTTGTGGTGTAAAGATCGGTTTCATTACATTCACGTGCACTTGTCTAATATAATTCGAATGTTCTAATTGAATTTCATAAGTAACGGGTCCAAGGACATTAATCACACGGTATGGTCCTTCGAATACTGCTTGCATTTTATTATTTCGTACAGCTGGCTTTGCTAATACCAATTGTTCTATTTCATACTGAATATGTTGCCGATGTTGATCATAACGTTTCTTACTCAGCTGCTGTTGTTGTTGAATATTCCTGCGAGCTTGTTGGATGATAAATGAACGGTATTGACGAAATTGATTATAATAATCATTTGATCTTATGAATTGTAACATAGGTTGGGGTTGAGCAAATGGTAAAGTAGGATGTTTTCCATATAATATTTGATATGGTGCATATTTAGTTGTTCGATGTTGACCGATATTGTAAGCATAAATAGTTGGTGATAAATATTGATCCCAATTATTACGATTCAAATCTTGTAATTTACATAATTGTGTTTTGATTGTCGCATTAAACCTTTCAATTGTTCCGTTTGTTTGAGGATGAAAAGGTGTTGAGAGAATGTGATTAACTCCGATATCATTCGTAATTGCTTGCATTAAATAATTGTTGAAATGAGATCCTTGATCGGTTAGGATATGTTTCGGGATGTGGCCATATTTAAATATAACGTCTTCAACAAGAAATTTAGCTGCTTCAGATGATGATGCTGTTGGTACTGCTTTGGCAATAACAAATTTTGAAAGATGATCTGTACAAGTAATAATATACCTATTACCATTACCAGTAGCTTCACGTGTTGGACCCCAAAAATCGATGCCAATTAGATCAAATACTCCACTTGGTGGTTCTGGTGTTTCTAGCAATCCTGGTGGTTTCTGTCGAGGTATGTTATATTGTGCACATAGTAAACATTGCTTCACATACCATTTTATATCTTTTAACATATTAGGCCAGTAATGGTTGTTCTTCAGTTTATAATAAGTTCGATCCGATCCATAGTGTGCTGATGTTGGATGCGTATGAGCGGAAAACAATAAGTCTTTTATCATTGATTGGGGTACCCATGGCACTTTCTTCTTTGTTCGACCTGGCTGCATCTCAATAAGTTTGTAGAGGATATCGTGCTCAACCACAAATAAGGGATAGTTACTTGGATGTTGTTGTATCTCATAGATTCGTTGTTGAATAAGTGGATCCAATAATTGCTGTTGCGAAATTTTCGAATAGTTAAAACCTAATGCTGAAGATGAGTTGTTGGATTCAAATGATGATGTTATTGGTTGAATTGTTGATGGTATGGTTGGCTGCGGTTTCGATGATGTTATTGACTTGGGTTTTGATGCTTTATCTAGAGCAGCCGTTTGTGCACGTGTTTGTACTGCATTATTTTGTGAATTATGGGTGTTATTTGGAGTGAGTGATGGACGAAATTCGTTGTGAGCTGGGATAGTATCTTCATTATGTTCATCATCATTAACATCGTCGGACATATCAGTTGATGATATACATCTTGATAGACAATCAGCGTCTAAATGACATGAGCCACTCTTATGTTGAATATCAAATTCGTATTCCTGTAAAATCAATGACCAACGATAAAGTCTTTCATTTGCAGATGTATGCTTATTTAACCAACACAATGGATGGTGATCTGTAATAACAGTAAATTTTGTGCCATATAAATAAATCCTTAGCTTTTTAATCGCCCAAACTATGGCGCAGCATTCTTGTTCCGTAACACTCCATTTTCTTTCCACTTTGTTTAAATTTTGTGATAAATATACAATTACATGTTCATTTTTATCAATTTTTTGCTTCAAAGTAACACCAATACCATTCTTTGATGATGCATCAGTAGCCAATATAAAAGGAACATTTGGCATTGGGAAATTTAATGTACATGGTTCTGATACTAAGTGTTTTTTTAATGTCTCAAATGCTAATTGTTGTTCAGCCTTCCAAATAAATTCACCTTTCTTAGCTTGAAATCTTTGTAATGGATAAGCAACTGCTGCAAAGTTCTTAATAAATGACCGATAATAATTTGCCATTCCATAGAATCGATGAGCTTCATCATATGTTGTTGGTGTGGGAATATCAATAACAGCTTTGATGTTATTTTGTAATGGTCGATAACCTGTATGATCAATTTCATGTCCAAGATATTCAATGCGTTCATGTACCAGTGCATATTTGGATAAATTTAGCTTGAAATTATGATTATTTAAAGCATGTAATACAGCATGAATGCCTTTAACATGATCATCAATATTTCGGGAGAACGTGATAATATCATCTAAATAGACTAAGCAATGATGACCTAATAAATCTCCCAATACTTCGTTCATGATTCTTTGAAAAACAGGTGGACCATTGACCAATCCCTGCGGAAGGACATTGAATTCGAATAATCCATACGATATTATAAAAGCCGTTTTTTGCTTGTCTCGGGAGTCAATTGGAACTTGATGGTATCCACATTTCAAATCGAATTTAGAATAATACCGAGCTCCAGCTAATTGATTAATAGTATCATCCATTCGAGGAAGTGGGTAGCTATCTCGAATGGTAATAGAATTCAATTTGCGATAATCAACAACAAATCTTGGACTACCGTCATGTTTCTTCACTAGTAAAACTGGTGACGCCCATGGCGACTGAGATCTACTGATTTGACCATTTCTTTCCATTTCATCGGTTAATTCTTTCTGTTGTTGTTTGATGGATTCAGGGACACGATATGGTCGTTGATAAATAGGTGGATGATCTTGTGTTATAATTCGATGTTTTGTTTTTAAATCTGTAGCTTGAGATGGTTTACTGATATCAAAAACTTTCCACTCTTGTAACAATATTGGACGAATTAATTGCTGATGCTCTGGTTTCAAATGTCGAATTAATATATTAATATCTTCTAAAATCTTGTTTGGTATAACAGCATCAGGTTTGAATGATTCAAATGATTCAGTAATACTACAACAGAGATTAGCTAATGGAACCTGACGAACTTTACCTAATTTTGAATTTTTTGGTAATACACAATCAGTATCTGTATGATTAACAACGTATAATGTTGTTCGATGATGGTAAATATTCAATAAGCTATTCGGGATTAGTATTGAAAGATCTTCTTGTAGTTGTTGTCGTGGACGGAATATAACTGTGTCTGCATTCGAAATTGATGGACAAATAGCATCAACTGGTTGTACTGTTCGTGATTTAATAGTAATATCATTTACTAGTCGAATGTTGTATTGCTGACATGTATCACCACTATTATCGTCATATGTTGGTATATATCGAATGGATCTTGGACCATTATCAGTCATAATAGTAACACATTGATCTTTACAATTAAGAATCGCCTGGTGTTTCTTAATCCACGTTTGTCCTAAAAGTAAATCGATGTTGGTTTGTGGTGATACATAGATTATTTCATCAGACAAGTTTTTGTCAAAATCGATTGTTAATATTACATAACCAGATACGACAACTTGTGTGCCATTCATAGCTTGAAAATCTTTATTAGTCGGATGTATAATAGGTTGAGGAGAGATTTTGGCTAAAGCTTCTGGACTAATAAACGAATCATCAGAGCCCGAATCAATCATTGTTTTCATAAGATAGTGATTAACTAATAAATTGATACACGATGATGCAAGCGTTTTGGTTGATGTTGTTGACGAGGAATTTTTCAAATCAGTTAATTTCAAATTACAATCTTGTTCCATATGATTATCCGTAAAACATTTATTAGACTTAGATTTTAATGATGATTGAAGATGTTGTGGTGGTTTTAATTCATTACTTTGGAGAGCACGCCCATCACTACGTGACTCCTGACTTAGTTTAAATGTTGTTTTGGTTTAAAGCAAGTTGTGGCTTTGTGTCCAAGCTTGCCACAATTATAACATTGGATCGGTCGGTGTTGTCGAGTATGTTGTTGGTTATAATTTGATGATGAGCGTGAAGGTGGATGATACTGTTGTAACTGATTATTATGATAAGTATTATTACGGTATTGATCAGATTGTTGAAAAAAAGGTATATTTGATTGAAAATTGTTTGTTGGTAAAAATGTTGTTTGTGATATTGGTGTTGCCCTTGCTATTGGTAATGAAGCATTCTCATCTATACTAGTAACATGTTGTTCGAAATTTGTCCGTTTACGGCGTTCTTCAATTTTTTGCAATACTTCTAATAATTCTTTTGGTGTTGAATATTCTCTAATTAATAATTGATCTTGAATACTATCAGGTAGACCCCGGATTATATAATCAATACGATGACGATCTGAAACTGGATATTCTTCCTCCAATAAATCACATTGTCTCATGACATCAGAATAATATTGATGCATAGGTTCATTATCATGATAGCGTCGATTTCTAATAGCATCTTCCAATTCAATACGTGATGGGTCCTTCTTTCCTTCGAATCGACTAATTAATTTTCGTTTGAATTCGTTCCAATCTAATTTTTGACGACGAATAAATTCCAACCATTTGTCATCAATATTGGATAACAATTTCAGTGTGCGGTAACATTTATCATTATCTGTAATAAACGCTTTATCATATACAAGTTCGATTTCTTCTAACCATGAATTGATCGATTGTGATTCTTCACCCGAAAATCTTGGTAATGTTTTTAAATCTTCCAGTACTAAGGCATGATGGGCTTTCATAGCCAACGTGTCTGACGAATAAGTTGTATATGGTTGATGTTTTATACAAGAATCAATTAATGTATTAGCAGGTGAATTCATAGAGTCTTGTGAGGTTGTAATTGATGAATATTGATCGATCATTAATCTTTGAAAATCTTTCCATTTGATCATTTGATCGTCATTAACATATACAAACTGAGCAGCATGATCTAATAGATAATATTTAGCTTTATTTGCCCAAGTACTTTCATCGTATTTCAAATCGATAAATACACTTTTAATAGCCGTCAACCAAGCATATATGTTCGTTTTTCCATTGTAATAAGGAATTCTGGCTAATTCTTTATCTTCATTGCTATTAATTGAGTGGTTTGTTGGTTGGGCTTGTGATGAAGTCGCAATAGTTCTTAATATTTGATTATCAAATTCTGAAGATGCGATCATTTTCGTTTCTATTGCATCGGTAGGAGTGAACGATGAAGAATTAATTTTGATTGTTGAGGAGTCTGTTTTAATTGACTGGCATGATGTACTTGTATTATTTGAATTCTCCATATTATTATTTTGATTTAACATACTTGATGGAGTCACTTTATCTTCTGCTGTTTGATTCGATATTACTTGATGAATACTTAATTTCGACAAATCTAAACTGGTTCTTGTTTGTACCATACAAATTAATGTTAAATATTTTGTCTTGTGAATTTTGTAGTAGTTTGATTTGTAAACCTTCTTGAAACTCAGGAAGCCGGTCTGGTGCACCAATTGTTAGCACTGGTTATACAGTTTATTATTAAATAAATGAAAAAGAGTGTGTATTTATATGTGGATAGGATAATGTCATATGTTAAACAATAGCACAAAGAATGATGATCCCGCCAGACGTGTTGAACAATAGTACAAAGAGCGACGGTTACACAGGACGTTGAGCAATAGTATAAAGAACGATAGTCACGCCAAATGTAGAAAAATAGACAATTGGAAGATAACATGATAGTCAAGGGTCACCTCGATAACATAGACATTGCTCACTTTCATTTTGGGCGACGTAAATTAAAATACCTCGATGACAAAACCACGCTCACCGCATGTCCCACTCATCGTCGTTCTTCAATTCTTCTATTTCTTTCGTCTGATATTATACAAGTTTGTTAATCAATGGTAGCGATTGTTTCACGGGAAATTGACGTGAAGACTGATGAGAAAATGGAAATTTTTGGGCAAGATGAAAGTCCAACATATCATTGAAGTATTGGAGAATATCTGAAAACCAATCATCATTTTGTGGACACAATTCATCGATGCCATCTAATGTCTTGCATTGATGACAACTGACTATGTGAAAAACACATAAAGTGTCGTTCCAGCATCGATAACGTCTAAATCCCTCAGTTGGGTATGATAGACGGCAAAGTGTCCTCTCATCTGATGTTCCAAGACAATCCACAATTCCATCTTCGGTGCGATTTACATGCAAACAGCCAATTGTTTGATTCTTTGGAAACACACAAGGATGATGATCAGTAGGACAGTGAAACTTCGATGGACAATTGAGCTCCTTAATTCCTTTCGGACACTGCCATAATCCATTACAGCGTGTATATTGATTTACGCATGACCATTGCTCACAGCGAGTCTCGTCGGTTTCGTTTGTTGAAGAAAATATGTCTCTCCTACCGTCACATACAGCAGAGAAAGGAAGTGTCTGAATATCCCTTATCTGTGCATGCGACTGGAATTCATCTTCTCCACCAATACATTGTCTTAGTTTGCTATTTGCCATGGTAGGTAATAGACATTTTTTCTCGGATGTACAATGAAAACGATGTATATCATTCAATGAACATGAATGAGCCTTATTCCGAATTCGCTTATAAGCCTCCAACCAATAAAAATAAGGGTGAATATATATCACTTGTTGCTAAGAGCGGCGTTTTCCTTTTGATTTTTTCTTACTATCTGTTCATTTCATTTTATATAAAATGAAATGAACAGATAGTAAGAAAAAATCAAAAGGAAAACGCCGCTCTTAGCAACAAGTGATATATATTCACCCTTATTTTTATTGGTTGGAGGCTTATAAGCGAATTCGGAATAAGGCTCATTAGCTGAAAGTGATTCGTCGAAAGCGTCATAACAATCAGGAGTTGCGTCCATGATGTGACGCTTGGGAATACATTTGCTTGTTCCAAAACAACGTAACATAGATGACTGCAGACAAGGAATCTCATTGACACTTTGATAGAGACGAGTGCAGGCAAGAAATGTCGTTTAAAAATCTTTGTAAGTTGAAAAGTTCAGTTTATGACTATGTAGACACGTGTAATTATCGACTTTGAATGCTGGAATGAGAAATGAACATTTGCGTTTATCAAAACAAACGAAATGCGGTATTAGAAAATTACGTTTGACGATTGTTTGATTGGAAAAGTAGCCTAATCTTACATGTCCATCCCACACAGAAAAACCAGGTGCAAAGAAATAAGATGGACAATATTCAAGATTCATTTTACATTCTTGAACATTTCCACATAATTCCTTACAATAAATGTCGAATTCATCTGTTAAGAAAATGTTTGATGCACAAATTGCAATCTTGAAACAACGAGGAAATCTTGTATACTCTTGACTGTACCACTGAAACTGGTAGTTAAACACTTGATCTCGATTATTTGTACAGTCGTTTTTATCTGTTAGTGCAGGCCAGGGTATACAGCGACCATCACCACAGACGAAATAACCAGGAAATGGACAAGCAGCATCTTCACAGTAAAAGTTTGGATACTGTGCACATATATATCTCGTATCGAAACCAACAGGCTCGTCCGATCGATCCAAACTTTCATAACTGGTTGCAACATGTACACCAGTTTCTACCAAAAATGCTTTATCGATTCACATTCCATTTCGACATTGATATTCATTATCGGCACATTGGTTCATGTGAAGCTCAAAACAATATTTTTCGTCTTCACCTCCATCAAGACAGTCGATTTTCCCATCACATATCTCACGTCAATCAAGACATATGAGAGAGGAGCCGCGATCACATTTCATGTGCATATAACAGGCGAATGTTCCATGAAAATTCTAGGCCCATTTCGAATCGAATGTTATGTCAACAATGTCTGAAAAGGAACGGTTTAAAGCAAATTTGTATTGACATAGTGGTCCAAACTATGGTACGGTGTTAGCGTCTGTAGATGGTGCTTACTGACGCTAAACGTTTATTTTATGTTATCTATTTTTTGAATCTCTGATTTGATTTGTTACGTAATCTCTCAACTATGATTCATCTCGTGATTATCTTTTTGTCTNATATGGGCAAAATTTCAAGACATAATTTCGTCATTTGAATTTTTTGTAAATACCTTGTCATAGGCCGAAAAATCAGTAAAATGGCCATAACCTTCGAAAGAAGCAACATGGGCCCAAATCCTCTTAGGCTTTTTCTTAGCATACTGACCCCTACATATGGGCAAAATATAAGCAAAATCGGCGTGAATCACTTGGAACGGTTCCCTCGTTAGTCAAATCCTATCAAAGATTGTGTTAAACAATCTTTACTTTTATTTTTGCTTATAACAAATAGAAACATGTATTAATAAGAATATTGATCACGAACAAGATTATTCCATCATATCACAAACATCAAAAATTTCATCTGATATATTAAAAGAATCTTCTGATCATAAAACTTTAATTGGTATTAATATATATGAAAATTTAACACATACACTTCGTCATCTTTTTGATTATCATCCAAAAGAGCCATACAAATTATTTAAAGAACTTTCAAAAAAATTCTATGAAAAAGAACAAGAATTATCAATCAATAATCAAGAAGAATCTTATTCATTTGCACAAAGACAACTTACTCTTCTTTCTGTATTAAAAAGCAGAAAATAAATCAAATTATCATAGTGTTTGTTTTTATTTTAGGATCGCTCTATTATTCAAGGTAATCCCGAAGAAACAATGACGAATATTTTAGAATTAAGTTTTTTATTTGAACAAATTGGTATTGGTTTAAATAAAGATGAAATCTATTGGTATGAAAAAAAGATAAAAATTTTGAAATTTTTATCCAAATTTTATTATTCAAAAGGATTTGGCTTTCAATGAAAGCTTTATTAAAAGAAAAAGTTAATATTCAAAAACTACGTTTTTGGGGCAAGATTTTTGGTATAAAAAATAATTATTATATAGTTGAAGCTGATTTTGATACATTTGATGATGTTGATCTAAATGATTTTGAATTTGTTAAATATCAAGAAATTTTTTCATCTGAACAAGACAATGAACTCGATGATACTATTCAAAGTTTCAATGAAAAAGTACCACCTGAACAACTAGGTGATGGTGTTAATCAAAAAGTTTTCTATGTATCAACTGGAAGTAAAGAATATTCTTGAAAATTGTTATTTATTCAAAACTTTTCTTAGTTGATCAATCTTTTATACAATTACCAATGGTAACACCAGAACAAATTGTATTATCTCGTAGAATTCAACGATTTTTTACTGGTGATCTTGAAGAACCTGTTATATTCGAATCAAGTTTTCCAGGTGTTGAAAAACATTTATTACGTGCACAAATTCAACGTATTACTGCTGGTACTCAGGTACGTTCGTATTATTTTCTTTCTCGTATTTTTTTTTTGCTTTCGTATAGATAGGACCGAAAAATTATTTTAAAATTTTAACTAATGAAGAAGAAGAAGAAGAAATGGGCGAAGAAACAATAGATCGTATGACGGATAGAATAGAGTGACAAATTCAAATGTTTTTGAATTTTAGCACATCAAATAAAATTTGATATAAATACTGAATTTGAAGGAAATAAACTTGAAGATCTTGCTTTATCTCATGGTCAATATTGGGTTCATTGTAAGATAGAAAAAATTAAATTTTCTTAATAAAAATATTTTTTTTTCTAGATGTAGCATATATTTATGAACAAGGTCGAAATGTATATTTTAATCGTAAGTTTACAAAATTTTCGTATTAAATTTAACAGTTCTTTTTATCCAAAGAACATGATATAAATCAAGAAGAAGAAAAATTAACGATGCGAAAAATAAATATTGAACAAGGTCCTCATTTATTATCTTCTGTCAATGAAGATATTCCAATTAATGGATTATATCCTGCATGGTCCATCGGTATGACTTCTACTCTTGTCCCTGAACATGCATTAGTTTATGCTCGATCGAATCGATGGCCAGGTTTGTGTTTTGTATCTGTCAACGTCCAATATAAGATTTTAGATTGAACTAGACGAATGCTGAGATCGAACGCTAAAATATCTAAAAATGTATATTAAATTGATTCGAGAATCAGATGTATGATAACTGAATGATTTTTGCAATGGTTGTACTATGTTAATTAAAGAGTCATGGAAAAGAAAAACATTCGAGTCCCGAGAAATTCTATCAAAATTATTGAGTGTAAAGGACGAATGTAATTACTATTGGTAGAATGAATCTCTCAATACCATGAAATTTACCAGGATTTAGAAATACTCGCCGTTTCGGATCTGATCTAATGCTGTCATTAGATTTTTATATTTCTTAATCTGTTTCTGAATATTATGAGACTGAAAAAGAACAACAGGTATTAATTTGAGAGTTCAAAAGGAATATTTTTTCTATTAAACTTCGCAGAAGTACAGAATCTGCTGCTAATACAAACAAAAAGTCTCTAAAGTCAAAATAGAATATATATATATATTGACAAAAAAAAACCAGGAGAGGAGCAAAGCTACTACGCATTCAAAACGGCATAATGTAAAAAATAAACTAGTTTCATCAATCATCTCTCTCAGGATTTTAATCTGCACTATGAGCAAAGTATGAGCTCAAACAGAAATTATCAGTCGGATGAATTCTTTCATAAATTAAAAAAAAACTATATGTTATTTCACTCGAAATAAGTACTAATAAACCATATCCCATGTGATCGTCTAGATTACATATATCAACAAACTAAAAATAAATAAGATATTAAATTTTTTCTTTTAAAAAATATATTGATTGCATTTTATCATTAATCATTATTGTTCAAGGTGCTTTTACCGTTGGTGACCGTTATCGTTTTAAAAATATCTATATTGGTTGGGGTGTGAAAAATTTTCTTGAAAGTTATCAAGAAAATATGATTGATTTATTACCAGACAATGAATATGAATTACAATTAATAGAAAGAGATGATCCAACAATAGAAGAAGACATTGAACTATTTAAATCATCTATATTATTATCACCACATGATGATGAAGAATTTGAAGACAATATTGATTAAATTAAAATTTCATTTAAATAAAGCAAGTTTAAGAATTAAAAAAAAAACAGAAATTAAATTACAAAATTATAACTAATAAAAGTGGCGTTAAAAAAAGTAGAATACTACTTATTGATGCTATGCGATTACTAAAGCCTTTATCATATGATAGACGTTCCCAATTAACACCAAAACTATTCGGATCACTTTTGTTGAGTTTTAATTTAGAACCATTTTCATCTTCGTCTTCATCCTTGTATGAATCTGTCGTTGTTGTATGTTTCTTTATATATGTGCTGGTGGTTGACACTGTTCGTGTACTAGAAGATGTCTCAGTAACAGTCCATGGTGAAGTTTTCTTGTGTGATCTATCTGATGTTGGCGCAGACACTAGTTAAAACAATCAACAAAATAATAATACATAATAATATGTACTTTGTTTTCCTTACGTAAAATTGAATTGCATAAATCTGAATGACAACATGTTTCAATACTAACATGACTATCAAGTGAAAAATCATGTGGTGTACAATGACGATTAGCACATGTCCTATAAGGTTGATGATCCATAAAACCAGCCTTTACAATATAAAAAAATGTATATAAAATTATTTATTATTTAGAAATCATTTTTACCCAACATAATTGTGTTCTTTTATTGCAAAGAATTTTATGTGCATCATTATTTGTTATTTGTCCACACTCACTACCTTTACATGAATAACATAAAAGTTTATCGCTGTCGTCTAAATTCAATACAATATCCCATTCAAATGAATAAATAATAAATATTCCTAATAAGAATAATAATTGAAATAATCGATACGACATAATTTTGTGGTCAAATACAATTACTGATTGAGTACAATGTTAGCACAAATGAAAGAATTTTATTTGAGGTTCTTCTTTTCTTTTCGTCACGGATGTAGAAATGGACTGTAAAGTAACACAATATCACTCAGCAAATAAATATATTCTTGATAAAACAAAATTCATTCGAGCGTGCAATACAAAAATCGTGTCTATTCATTTGAATCGTATCTTCAAGGTGACATATTGATGTTGTTACTCATGATTGATGCATGTTATATATGTCAATTTTATTCAATATAATAGAAGAAAACAACATCAATACGTACATAGTTTATATTTTGTTTTTCTTCTTCTTTGTATTATACTTCATGAATCTAATAAAAATTGTTACATTGCAGTATTTTCGTTTGTTCTAATGATTGGATATTTGACTCTAGACGAAATGTTTGAAAAAAAAAACTGTAAGGATGGAATTCGGATACTTGAAGGTAAAAAAAAAATGTTTTCATTTAAATATCGCGCTACATCTGTATAATTACGACATATGAAATACCAAAGATTGAAATATTTTTATTCACGATATACAAAAGCTATTGAATACTTTGTAGAAGTATGCATATTCAAGTTAATTAACGTTAGTGCATTGAATCAAAACATAAAAACAATCTCTAATTATATTTATATTAGCGATGCATCGAATATGATAACCAATCAGCCGGTAACTAGTATGAATCAGGATTGATGACTGATATTACTCACCAGTATTTTTTCCCTTGGTTTTCCTAGTTAATCAGATGTTGACATGCTTTTTTATCTGACGATGAAATTTTTTGTAACTGTCAAATTGCTTTTGAATCGGAACTATATCCATCATGAAACCTTCTAATGAACTGTGGATATACTGAAAAGAGTTCAGGTTAATAGTTTATTGAGTTTGTCCACGTAATACGACATTTTTTTGAAGCTGGACAAATATTTATGTAATAGTAGGTGCAGTCTTTCACATTAAGTAAGAATTTAATAATTGGTTCTTTAAAAAAATTTAATACTGGCATCAAAAACCAGGTTTTAAACTTGCCGAAAAACATATTTTGAATTTTCTACTCAAAAAGAGTTTTTTTTAGACATTCCAAGTGACATAATGTTTGATGTAGAATTTATTTCTGTACAAAATGGTCTAGTTATTTTTGACTTTGATCACTAATGATTACTTATACAGCTAATAAGCTGTCATTTGATACAGCAACACGATTCTTACGCCAAACAATTCGATATATGTATAGAAAAGACCAATATTTAAAAAAAACAAATCAAATGTTTCTGAGCAGGTTAAGCGTCTCAAAATTGATTGGTAAAAACTATGCTACAGAGTTCCTCGATGATAAAATCTGCCCAGAAGCCTGAAACTTTAATCGACAAATATTATTTTTATAGCATAGATAGAGCGTAATAAGCTGCGTCAAATGCCGTTTCGACTTGAAACTTTCTATAGAGACAGACGTTCATGCAAATAGTTCATTGTGAAAATCTCAGATCTTTAGATTGCTTCTATTCTAAGATACAGCTATAGTAAAAGCATGGTTTTTTTTCATGCCGTTTATATACAACTAAAACTTGTTTCTGTACAAAATTTCAAACCAAAATTCGTAACTCAATTTTTCTAAGAGTGACCAATAGATTTTTTTTTTCTACTATGAATATACAAAATTCTGCAGTAGTATCAAAAAATCTGATAGGCTAACATAAAAGGCTTGCTGATATTTGATTGAATAAAGAAATACCTTGGAAGTACCTATTATAGCAGAACGATTATTGATTTAGATTGATGAACCTATATATGATTTCCATAGTTTAACAAATTTCTTCATGAATAGCACATTTTTTTTTCATGTAGATAATAAATGAACATGATTGAATGTTTCAAAAAGAAGACAAAACGCAAATATTAATAAATCCGACAACATATCTTCAATGAATACAGACAACATATAATATTAACAAAATACAGAAACTATTTTTAAACCTTGTCATATACTGTATGCAAAAAAATAAGTATATAATAGGTGATGATACTCAAGCATTCATAATTTCGATACCAGTTATTAAATAATGTCAAATGTAATCCATCATTATTTTCTAAATGTAAATCTATCATATCCTTTGTGTTATCATCAGTGTAGAAATAAACAGATCTGAATGAAATTCTATATAAAAACGAGAGAGAAAAGGACAAAAAAAAGCATATATGATAAATAACACGTCGATCAATCATCATCATCATCGTCCTACTGTATACACGAATGCATTAAAAAAAACGAAGAAAAAAAAAAGCAATACGGACTGAAACAAATAAAAAGGAAACGAAGCAATGTAAGTTAAAAACGTAGTACACATGTAAATGTAAATGAGTGTAATGCCGCACTATCGACCGAAAAGAAAAAACAAACAAAATAAGAAAATTATGGTCGCCAAAGACCAGATTGACGAACAGCTTGTTGAAGAAGTGCTTGTGCACGACTAATCTGTTCTGGTGTTCCTTCAATTGTTATTATTCTATCACCACCACCACCATTACCACTAGGAATTGCTTGATCATCAATAATAATATTTGCGTTTGTTATTTGACGTATTTGTTGAATTTTTGTACCACGTGGTCCAATTATAGCTCCAACAAGTTCATTCGGTAACGTTACCTATGAAACAACAACAAAAAAGAAAAAGAAAGAAACGAAAAGATATTACAAGACAAGAAAAAAGATAACTTACACGTGTCGAAGTGAACAATGCAGCATTGGCGTAGCGAGTACCTAAACCTTGTCCACCACCATAAGGGACATCAACAAGAGGAGGTAAAGGCTGAATAGGATACATACCACCACGTGATCCGCCTGGTGGATATGCGCCTCGTGGATTGTATCCAGAACGAACATCAACACCACCCGGAGGTTGAAAACCACCTAGATAACAAAAGCAAAACATAACAACAATTTGAATTTCTTTTTTTTTTTTCAAATATAAAATGAATCTAACCATATTCATTTACAGCATACACATCAAAATTATGTGGATCATATTGAATTAATGGTGAACCTCTTGGTTGTTGGGATGATGTGGCCATTAAATTGTAGATGTTCTAAGAAAAATAGAAATAGAAATTTCTTTCAAATCTGTTGTTTTCTTTTTTCTATACTAACTTTAATACATTCAATAATATCTTCAGGTTTTCCACGTAATGAAATAACTCTTTCATGACTTAATGGACAACATTGTGAAAATACTTTAATATCAAGATTATATGTTTGTCTTAATTCTTTAACATGTTGGCCACCTTTACCAATAATAGCTCCACAATATATTTGATGAACAAGCATACGTATTTCAGATAATGATTGTTCAGTATTATTATTATTATTATTATTATTATTATTGTTATTATTAGTTGATTGTATTTGATCAGAATTTCCATTGCGTCTTCGATTAAATGATGAAAGACGAGAACTATCAATTAAACATGGAATGATCTGACGTAAAGCATCAAAACATTGTTCTTGTTCACCACTTATAATTAAAACACGCTCAGGAGATGCACAATCAGGTACTTGAATTATTGTACGTGGATGATCAGCACGAAGTTTTTGTATTGATAAACCACCTTTACCTGAGAGAAGAGAAAAAAAAATTCTTAAATAAAAAAAAACAAAACATTTTTTTCTATCATAGAAATACATACCAATAACTGCACCAGCATCACGAGAAGTCATTAATAAACGTATTTCAATATTGGATGCTGATGAATAAGGATTATTACTATTGCTATTATTCATACGTCGATTATAATTGTTATGCTGATTGCTTATATTATTATTATTATTATTTGATGCTTGACCATAGTCATCATCAGATGATGTCATCTTGTCTATTACAACGGAAATCGGAGGGACGATTGGATTGGGATAGGCACTAGGACCTTATTATTAAATAAGTTAAAGATCCAAGAAGTCTTGAATAAAAGAACAAAAAAAAAATAGATGATATTGAATATTCGATACAAGAAAAAAAAACAAAAAGACTAGGATATTTAAAATCCAAAATAAACATGAGTTATTCTAACACACTAATGCAGGTTTTGTTTCTCTTCACATGTTAATTTAGTAACCATTAGAAATAGAAAACAACAGAGGACGTTAGTTTCTAAGTTTGGTTCTTTTCAAAATAGAACAAAAGGAAACAGAAAGAGAGATCCGACTATCAAATTTCATCGGAGAAAAAGCGGTGTATTCTCTCGGATCTAATAGTTTCCTTGGCTCAGAATTTCGTTAAATTGAATGAAATTCAATGATATTAAAGTATCTAGTTTTAGTTCTTTGTGATTATAAGGCAACATGTAAAATATGTTTGTAATATTTTTTATCTATTACCAATTAATCCAAGTCAAATATTTATATTCCTAAACAATTGTTTACAGTGAGAATAAAACCTATATAACTCAATTAACAGTAAATTATTTTTTTGCTGATTTAAAAGAATTAATATTTACTACTAAAGTATTATGAAACGAAATTAAATCAAATGAATAAGTAGAGTCAATTCTTTTCATCTACATGAAACAGTCGTAGATACAAAACAACAACTAAAAAAGTTATTGCAGTTAAAATGTTATGAATTAAGGTTAAATAGAGAACATTCACTACACAATTGTAATGAATTATTAGAATAAAAACAAATAATTTACGTTTGTTAATTTTGAATGGTCAAAATCTATTATGAATGATTCGTTGAAAATAATTTTCATGCATGAATAATATCCATTCGTATTTTTGAATATTATCCTATTGGTCATCAATAGTTGAAATGATTAAATCTACAAGAGAAGTTCATCGATTGATGAATCGCTTTTGAGTCGAGACTATGTGCATTAGATAGAATCAAATGATCTATGAATATCCTGAAAAGATTTTAGATCTTTAGTTTATTGCTATGGAGATACTGAAAATTTTTAAGTAAATGCTATGGTTCTCGTTATAGAAACGCCAAGAAAATTGTTTTTCGCATTTTGATATGAGATTTTTCACAGAGACAGTTCTTGATAAGAATAGATTCTTGTAAATATTTTCAAAACTTGTTGTTGTTGTTTCTATCTTTAGATAGACTTCTGGTGAACGTATGTCTTTTATACTGTTCATATAAACCAGCAGATTTGATTTACAAAGTATCATATGAAAATTTGAAAATTAATTTTCCTGCTGTTTCTGATGAGAACTACGACATTTACTTAAAAGAGTTGCCATCAGTTTTCAGTATCTACGTAACAATTAGTTAAGAGCCGGAACTCTTCAGGAAATTCAACACTCGTTTCGCTCTACATGATATATAATAGTTCCGACTGAAAAGTCATTAATCAGTTGGAAACTTTCCTCATTAAAAATAACATCATCCTCATTCTATTTCTTATACTAAAATCCAAGTTAAATAGTATTAATATAGACCAAAACAGTAATAATGAAATCAGATGATCACTGTATTTACTATCATGCATAGACAAGATATTGAGAGTAGGTGTAAAATATTGTGATGTCAATATTCATCTTCATCGTCTTTTTATATATCTGATATAAGCTGACATTTTTGGTTCAATTCAACGAAATGGATTATTTATTACATAGATATATCTTTAAAAGAATATATTTGAAAAAAAAGTTTAGAATTCAATTGAACAGATAAATATTTGATTCAGATGATTTAGTAAATTTTTACAGTTTATCATTCATTACAAATGAATTCATACTTTCAATAAAACTAAAACTAAATATATTCAACTCCGTTAAGAATGTCATGAATAGATGTGTAAGTGGATACATTAATCAACAACAGCGACTGAAATTTTTGATGAATCCTTTTAAAAAAAAATGATCTGAATTTCGAGAAATATTAAAATGAAAACAGAGTAAACGATGGTCGAGAACTTATTGACAAGAAACAAGATGATTACATCGATGATATATCTTTTAAATTTTGTAGCTATCAACAACGACAATGGTTCACACCTCTATTCATTTCATTCCTTTTAGGAAAAAAATTTGTATTTCTTACTATTTACTGTCTATATCATGTGGCCACAATTCAACATTTCAGCATTAATTATTTTTCTTTTTTCGTCATGACTCGATACAGTGATTCTGCGATCGGATCCAATTAGTTACAACCGGAATTAGAAAAATCCAGTCACTAGATTCAATTAACGAATTTCTGCTTCTAAGTTTCTATCATTTTCTCGAGTTGTCCCACCAGAAATAACCCGTATTTCGTAACCTGGCATATGAAAAAATAATCTCACACATATTCAAAAGTAATGTTACAACAGTGAGAAATTTGTGTCTATTACTCTTATATGTAACAAAAATCCTATCTTGGACTTTTTCGTAAAACTACTTTTGAATGTATGTGTTATTATTTTTTCTAATGTAAGTTATTGAGCTCTATTCAGGCATGACGAAAAAAGAAAAATAAATAATATTGAAATGTTACAGTACAGTCACATGACATAGACTGTAAATAGGCAGTCTGTTGAAAAACGAATAATGTAGTTCATGAAATAGATTGGCCATCGCTATTATTCAATCTTGCACCCATCGAAAATGCTTGGCAACTTCTCAAAATGAAATTAAGAATGAAAAAATATATAACTTATCAATCTTTAATTTCAATAATAAAGTGCGAACGGAAGTCTTTATCATCCGACTTAGTTATTAAATTTGTACATAGTATGAAAAATCGAATTTCAGAAGTTGCTGAAAGTCATGATGAATTTATATTACGTTAAAGATCAGAATATAGTATAAGTTTTCATATAATCAAAAATGTTTTTCATCTTATGAATTCATTTGATAAAGTTCGACTAGAGCAGAAACTTTTGTCTACTACTATATATCGCCATTCACATTTAGAATGATTAGAAAAACTGAAATTAACAATTATCAATGATTTTAGAATGAAGAATCAGATGAATCTCGTTTATTTATAGCAAAAGCAAATAATAATTTAAAAAAAAAATTTGTTGTCCTGTATTGTTCTTTTCATTCGATATTAGTAATTAATATTAATTTTTAAGGATTTTTATACATTTTATCAATACGATAATCAGTAAAAAAAGCCCAAAGAAAAGCACAAAATCCTAAAATAATTACACCATTTAAATTACAAATACGTTTCCAAAATGAATTTTCTGTTGCTAATGGTGGTATTGTTGCTTTAGCATCTGTTTGATTATCACGATCATCTATATGTTCAACACCACATATCCATGAAAACATTAATTTAAAATAATATTTTGCATTTTTATGCGTTGGATCTATATATAAAAAAAAAAAAATCGAAAGTTTTTTTTTTCTCTCTCAACAAGAAATAAAAATCTTTAAATACCTGGATAAAAAATACTAAATCTATGTTCCGATGTACTGTTTGATTGAATAGGCAGATTTATTTGAATATTATCATCTTCAAAAGACGTATCCGCTTTATGCCAACATCCTAATTTTGTTGGAATTGGTGTTGCTTTAAGTGGATTCTTCAAATCAAATAAATTCAAGCCATGTAACTATCAATAATAAAAATATTAGGTTTATTAAATGAAAATAAATTTTATTTGACATTCGAGTTGTCAGATTATAATTTTATAATTAGACACGTTATTCAGTAGATATTTTGACAATTGCAGATAAGTTATTTTAGAAGCGAGACTTTTTAGCGACTTTCGAAAGCGCACTTTTGAACATATAAGATGTATCTATTTAGTATATAACTGACAGCAGTAGGTTACTGTAATTAAGGTTCTTTCATGTAACTTTGTTACTTCTTCATCGTTATAAAAAAAAAATCACTTGAGCATGATCGAAAAGTGTTATTTAAAATGCACTTTTTTACTAGCTTTTACAGAAAAAAATTCATTCATTCTTATAGTATCTGAGAACTAAATCCTTCTAGAATAAAAGGTCATCCATAAGAAATATCCTACTAGACATAATAGAAGCCATGAATTTTTCAAAATTTTTTTTCCGAAATCCAACAAATTTAAATGCTTAAAACTCAGTTTTTGAGTATACTATCATTTTCTTAAATAAAAATTCCTATGTTTGTTTTAGTAAAAAAGTGTTTTTCATTACTTATTTACTAAGAGCACTTTTTTGAGTGTCAGAGAAGTTTTTCAAAACCTCTTGATTTTCTAGGTCAATGTTATCAAAAAACTAGCTCGGAATAAAAGGTCCTCATTTGGTGGAATAATATGAATTTTCATAATAGAAGAATATGACCTTTTACTTTGCAATGGTTTAAGTACTAAGTAAAACCTTCAATAGAATAGTGGTCAAAGTGTCGAAAAATCGATAAAACTTCGGAAATAAGATTTAATATAAATCTTTCTAATAAACTATTCCTTTGGAAAGCTGGTCGCCAGAGCAGTCAAAAAAAGAAAAGATTTGAGCCTTCTAAGGTATCAAGTATCTGATATTACGGGAAAATAAGGACACTGAAAAATAACATTCTATGATATAAAATGAATCAAAGGAAAGTAAAATTATAAACAACAAGTAGTAATGAGCAATTATTATATTTCCGTCAAGTAATACATCCTGACTATTCAGAATATCCGACAAATCTATTTAACATACACATTGATCAGGTATTGGTCGAGTTAGAAGACTGATAGTAATCGTTATTAAACAAGTAAGTACAAAAAGTAAAACAGCAAAGTATAGGAAATGAAATTTAACTGCAGCTGGACGTTGATCCATATGTGATAATTCACATGGTGGAACTGAATATGAAAATTCCCAAATAAAACGAATTAAACCAATAACTAAACCACATATAAGACCCCAAAATGCACCCTAAATAATACAAGAAAAATTCATATTTACTTTTACTTTTTCAAATGCAACAAACTTCTTCATTAATTCGTTTCCATAATATTGCAAGAAGATAAATTGCACATATTGGTGGAGCTAGAAAACTTTGCACTGATCTATAGTAAATGATTTATTTTGATTTTTGTATACAGATTTCTTTTTGTTTTATTAAATATATTATCTTACTGAATATAATCAAATAGACGACCACCTTGTGCAATTGAAATAATTGGAATCCAGAGGATAGATATTCCAACAAGTATTAATGTAAAAACTCTTTTTTTTTTTTTTAAGCACAAATCAGAATCATTTTTTTTATTTGATTTTTCTTTTCACAAAATTATCTCTTACCTTCCAACTATAAGTAATTCCCATTGTGGTGCTCTTGATCGAAAACGTTGCCATACATCAATAGTAAATATAGTTGATGATGAATTAAATATTGATGTTAATGAAGTCATTAATGCTGCAATCATACAAGCAAGCATAAGACCACGTAAACCACGTGGCATTAATTCAATAACAATCAATGGATAAGCTATATCTGTACATGATACTTCATTATTACAGACTTCTTTACATGCTTGAGGACTTGAACAACCAATTTTATCTTAGTTGATAAATAAAATATTGATTATTTCTTTAATGTAGAATATTATTTTTTTGTCTTTCTACCTGGAAAGAGTATACGTGCAACCATACCCGGAATAATCATAAGAAAGAGAGGTAAAAATTTTAAATAACTAGCAACAATACAACCAGCACGAGCATGAGTTAAATTTTTAGCAGCAAGTGCTCGTTGAACGATAACCTGAATATTAACAAATTATCAAATAGAATTAAACTTTTTTATTTATACTCACTTGATCACTAGAAAAAAAAGTAAAAGTGAAAAATAAGAAAAGACAAACATATTGTTAATTCTAGCTTTTTTTTAATTGCAATTCGAAAATTTAGGATACGAAAGATATATATTTCTTTTCTTCTTTTTGATACCTTCTATTGCTCAGGAATCTCAGTTATCACATACGATGGAAAGCAGTAAAGTCTTTAATAGTAAACAATCAAAGTTTGACATTGTGGTAGTTCATATTTTCCCAGATAGTAGGTAGTGGTTTATCCGGGATTTGTATAGTGAAAGAAAGCTTCATATGACCAGACTCTTCATTTGGTGAGAGGAGATCGTGGCTTCGATAGATGAAAGGTGAAGGACTCACAGTAGAACCTCTTCTAATTTCAAAGATTTTTTTTGCTTATAAATTAGACACTATACAGTATTCTAATAAAAACCCTCAAAGAATTTGGGTTTCTATTGAGATTCGAATAAGTTAGCGAATTTTTTACTAGCGATCTCAGGTTTTCGAATCACTCATATTTTCGAATTTTAATCTAAAACTTTGTGCATATAGAGAACTCCACTAGACTAGCTTTCATAAAAAAAGCTCACAAGTTTTGAATAAAATCTCTTCGAGATATGAAGCTTTCACAAAAACGAACCATATTATGTGCACTATTCATGGAAAAGGGTTCATATCTAAAGAGTCTCATATTTCAAAGAGACTTTGTTTAGAACATTTTTGAGTTTTTCTAAGGAATGAAGTCTCTACAATATTACACTACAGCACTATATCAAAAACTATTAGTACAATCCTTTTGCGGTTGAATATTCTAAATCAAGAGATTCTACAATATATACTTCAATTTAAGACTTCCAACGTATTGATATATCTGCGATGAAACAATGCTCTATTTATTTCATTTATTCATTAACTAACCTGCACCAATACCAAATACTCATAATGGTCATACCAATAATACCCACCCATGGAGGACCATTATTTGAATTAAGTGGTCGAATAATACTAAAATAATCTTCAGGCGGTATACCACATGCTGTATTATTAAATAGAGTTGTATCAGCAATAGAATATGGATAAAGATTTTTTATCATTTGTAAACCACCAACACGAATATAACTTATAATCATAAGAATAAAAGCTGCTATAACCATAATAATTGTTTGAATAAAATCTGTCCAAATAACAGCAGATAATCCTCCTAGAAATATTTTATTTTTATTATTAAAAAAGAAATACAACTCATATTATTTAACTTACCACCAATAGTAAATATAGCAGCAAGAGCTACAAGTGCAATAATCGATATATACATATTCCAACCAAGTGCTTGATTAAGAAATATTGCACCCGAATAAAGATCAACTGATATTTTTGTAAATATTGAAAGTATTAAAGCTAGAGCAGTTTGATAAAGACGAATTCTATCACCACCAAATCTTTTCTTTAAAAATTCTGGCATTGTATAAACCTATTTGTAAATTATTTGCAGTATAAGAAAAAAAACAAAGAAATAAATATATTTTCATTATTCATTCTTGACTTACATCAGCTTTTATATAAACAGGTAGAAAAACCCAACCAAGAATTATTAATACATAACTAGCCTAAATAAAAGCATAAATTCAATAGGACTATTTTGTAATTAAATATTTAGGTACATACATTTAATTCAAAACCAGCTACACCAATACCATACTTGCTCCACTACCTATTGAAAAAATGATTTCACTTTTAAGAATAACATAACAACAGTAAGTTCTTTAGTTATGAATGCCGAGATATTGAATTTCTACCGTGATTTTTAAATGAATGTTGTGACTCGTTCAGGAAAAAAAATGGTTTTCCGAAATTTGATTTGAAATTTTGCATAGAGACTGGCTTAAATGAAAGTTGTTTATTGTGAAAGTTTTAGACTATTTGACTTGCTTCTATCCTGTTATAAGAGCATCTAATCTGTCTGTTAATATGAGCGATGTAAAAGGCACACACTATTACCATAGTTCAATCTTAATATAGGGACAGAGATGAAACCAGTCTGAATTTTTCACGACTGGTATCAGTCAGTGGCATAGTCAGCTATGAGCCATTGAGCAATTGCTCACCGATCAAAAAGTTACTATCCAGGAATTTCTTGTGCCGATGACCACTATTCAACAGTTCAATAGTAATTGCCAACCGATTTCATCTAGGATGGTAACAGCTGTTCATACCTCATAATAATTTGACTAGATAATTGCTCATGGTTCAATAATTCCTGGCTACAACATTGCCAGCGGGAGAGCTTTCCCTCGTTAACATCATGTATTCATATTTGTTAGTTACTACGTCTTGTTATGAAAAAATCTATTAGCCTTTATATGTTATATTATTTTTAAACCCTATTCGATACTATGTAGATAACTTTTCATTATAAGCTGTGACACTTTGTACAAAAGGTTAACGCCTTATTATTTAACGATAGATTTCAATAAGCCTTTCTGTTTCTTTCTTTTTACAAGACTCGACAGGACAAGGGATTATTCTCATTCATTTTTAACAAAATAAAACCCAAAAAAACGTTTCTCATAAAAACAATGACGATTTAAAAAAAATGTCTAGATGGCCTGGCTTTGTAATAGATTTCTGTGCTGAATAAAAATAATTCGTTGTGCTTTTTTTTTTCATATAAGTAAAAATACCTGCAAGACCAATAAAATGTCCACTACCAATATTACTGGAAAATAAAGATGCTCCCACCTGAAAAGTGCCATTTAATGATTACTTCGACATTAATAAATTAAAATCTTACTGGTAAGAAAGTCATTGTTCGTCCTGCAAGAAAATAACCTCCTAAAAGAATAAAATAATCATAAAATTAATAATAATTTATCATTCACAAACACTAACCAACACTGCCACGATTTTTACATGATGACTAAAATATATAAACACATGAAATAAATATAATTTTCTATATTATTAAATTCTATTAAGTTATTTTCAAATACAATGTTATGATAGAATAAAATAATATACATAAACTTACCCATATACCAAATCCGATCACAATAATAAAATAAGCAATTAAAACCAATATGTCTGCCCAATGAAGAGGAAAACTTTGAATTGCGCTTACCATCTTGTATTTCAATAAGCTGAATGCCTGATGTATCCACCCTGCGTCTGACTATATCTACTTTTACCTTTCAAAAATCTTTTGTCAATATTTTTTTTACTGAGAGTAATGACTAATCAATTGTAAATTTCTCAAGACATGTCTGACATAAGTTTGAAGGTTATATTTATATTTTTGTCTTCTTTTATTTATTCAAAAATAGAGCGAATAGAGCATTTATATCATATACAAAAAAAACAAAAATAAAATCATATATTATATTTAGATGTAAATTTAATCTTCAACTTCATGTTTTATATTGTCCTGTGTTGATGAAGTAAATATACCAGAAGAAAAATTATTATCAATTGATCGTTGTCGAACACGTTTGATATTTTCTTGAGTTATACGAAGTCGTTCAGTTAAATCTTGAATTTCATTTCGTACTCGTTGATGAACATCATGAATACGTGCTATTGTATAAGCTTTTCTCATATCATCTGAAATATATACAAATAATTATATTAAATATATCAATAGATGTTTATATACATACATTCGTTTTCAATCGTTTGATTTTCATCTGTTGATGATGCAAATGATTTTGTAGAATTAAGTAACTGAACTAATGAATCAGAGGGTTCTTGAAAAACCTATGATAAAATAAATTTTTTTTATATACAACTATGGAGTGATACGACTAAAATCAAAGTAATATATTAATACTTCAAATGTATTGAATCAGAGGGGTTTTGAAATGGTAGCATAAGAAAGGAGAAGCTATGGAAGTCAAGGCCGTGCCAGCTAAATTCTACCACAAGCCCTTCTACCAAACAGAGTCTCTCTCCTTCTACTGACAAAACCCTTTGTTACGGCACTATTCAATAGCAATTGACCAAATCGATACGAAACAATAATCATCATCAATTGGTTTCTTTCATGATCTGAGTTTCAAGATAGTCTTTTATAAACATGTTTTATTGAAACTGACTCCTTTCAGACAATACAATTAAATCACCGTATGATAATATAAAGTCGCCTTATCAGATTTATAGTGATCTCTAAATATAACGATTAGTATTTGCTAAAGAAATATGACGGTCTAAAAGTCAAAGTTATTATGAATAAATTAAAATTATTGTCAAAAATTAAACATAATTTCCAGTTCAGATAATATCGGAACGTTTATATCAGCAAATAAAGTCATGTCGGGATTGACTTTAGAATATGAAGATGATTTCTCATTATTACCAATAGTAGTTAAAGACGAACATATTTATTACTAGGTCAAATTGATAACATTATTTATTCGTTCTTATGAGAAATTCAAGAAAGAGCAATAAAAAAAAAAAAAAGATATTAAGAACATTTTGAATCCTGTGTCTCTATGTTTGTTTTATTCTTGTTTTGATTACCTTGTATTTATCAAGTACTTTTTTTCTTTCTGCATGAAAGATTTGATATGATTTATTAACATGATTATTGTAAATAGTTTTTGCATCCATAGAAAATCTATGATAATTGACATTGTACTTTATATACAGACAAGTTTAATATCCTTGTCAAAATAACAATGAAAAGATCGCTCTACAGATTGTGTGCAGAAGAATCCTTTGTTCTGCAAGATGTATTCTACAAGGACAAAACGAAGAAAATCTTCATATGACATTCTCTAGTACATATCTTATTTATTGTATAGATAAAGTTGAGAAAAAGAAACGAACATTGGACAAAGACATAATAGTAGTAAGCAGTATGTGAATATTTCTCTACACACCCTCATTGCCTCCTGACGCTCAACATCCTTAGATAAGCATCTAACTTCGAGTAGAATACTTCCTTCTCTATTAAACATTATACGATAATTATTAAAAAATTCTTTAATAAATCCACATCAAAACCTTTTCACCTATGGAAAATCATTTATTATCGATTATTGCATAACAATGTTACATTTTTACAATCTCAACTTCACAAAAGTCTTTATTGAATATCAGCAGTTTTCAAAAAATGTACTACTTTGTAGAGAATTATTTTTTGTATTTTCCAATATATTCGATAAAATTTCTGTAGTATGTCTAAAACAAATTCCTTTTGAGGTTTTTGCGTCGAAGAAAAAAAATATTGATTCTTTTCAAGATTCATTTAAAGCTCAATAGTCAAAAGCCACAGAAAAGTTCAAAGCATATATCCTGAAAGAGCACAAAACTATAATTCAACTACACTAATTCTCACTCTTTTCTCCTATTTGTTAAAACACAGGAAAAAAAAATCGTCAATATATTTTGTTTAGAAACTTTCGGGTCATCCCATAAAAGGCAATAGAATTTTAAAATCATCTTTCAAGTTCAACTGTACATTATCGTATGTTTATGTTTCAAATATACTTTTAACTGTAAAAATTAGAATATTGACAGTTAAGTTAGATTTGTAAAAAATTTTTCTTTTCAACAATCTAATCTTAAAATGATGAATGAAAATAAAAATCGATGAAATATTTACCAATTCATCATAATATTCATTGACTAATGGTTTTTTACCAACTACAACTTCTGGATCAGTTGAAAATAATTTTAAATGATGATAAAATGTCACCCAAAATAAATAAATTAATTCTATCTAACTTTTCTTTTATTTAAATAAATACAAATACCGGTTTTTCATTTGGATCAGAAAAAAAAATTGTTATCTGTGTTTCAAATTCTCCCCAACCACTTTCTTCAATTTCAAATGGTGGTTGATTTACCACTAAAAAAAAAAAGGTCTCTTTAATATATCAAGTATTTATTGTTTATTCACCTCGAATATTATTCGGATATGTTTCATGTAAACGAAATTGTATTCGATTAATATAATTTGACATATCATCATTATTAAATGATCGAACATAAAGTGTCCATTTATGTGTATGTCCATCGGAATCTCTTTTTGAACCAAAATGTTTTGCTGTATTACCATAAAGAATTGGTTTAATAATAACCACTGGTGTTCGCTAAAAAATTAAATTGCTTTTTTTTTTTTATTTATTTTGTTACTGTATTGATGTTGTTACTGATTCTAAAGTTAATGTTGACATCTAAAAGTTCAATAATACATATATTTAAAGAAAAGTGTTCTATTCTAATAGGTAGATCAGACAAGAGATTTAACACGATTTTAAAGTTTAACTTCAACAAGAAGAACCTTGTATCTAGTCAGAGAGCTTATTTTTTCGCATCGATATTCATAAATATAACTACCTGAATTTTATATATTAAAATCAAAAATTTATTTGTTTTGCGATAATATTTCCATCAATTGATCATTTAGTTGAAAATTTTCTATTCCTTCTTTCGTTTTTTTTTTGTTCTATTTGCTTTATAATAGGAGCAATTTCTTCATGAGTTAAAATTACATTTATTCAACAAATAATAAAAAATTTACATTGGTTTAAGATTTATATCTAATAAAGTAAAATTTCACTAGATGACACAAGTTGGCAAGATATATTCAACACTATAAAAATCATTTAACATTTAGTAAAAAAAACCATATATTCAATCAATAGATATCTTATGATTTAATCAAAGCCGAACAACATCTACTTAAAGTATCAATCAATCTAAAACAAAAACTTTTAAAAATCTAATCATTAATTGTTAATTCTTATATTAATATAGTTTCTATTGAAAATCTTTATCATACCATATTCTGAAATCATGTATATTTTAATTAAAAAAAACTAACATAATTATTATTGAAATTGTAAAAAGTTTTGTAAAATCAAACAATACAAATTTCTCAGATGACGAAAAATCGATTCTGTTTGTAATCTTCAAAAAACAAATAACAATAAATAAGCAACCAATATTTCAATTGAATTGTATGCAATTTTTATAGAGAGTTTTTTCATAAATGACTTTAAAATTTTATGATAATGGTCGATCTGAAAGCTTTGTGAAAAAATATTTGTTCATTCTTAATCTCCTGGAAAATGTTTTCGATAAGTCAAAACTGACAGATTTTGACCAGAATTTTGTTCTAACAAAAAAAGAACACAATATTTCTATTTATATATTCAAAGAGAGTACAAAATTTTGATCATTATTCATAGTTTTTGGTTTGTCTGTCATACTTAAGTAGAGAAAATGAGCAAATATTTTCATCAAACAATTCGATCTACACATTCTGTTCACTATGATTTTTTCTGCATCTTTTAAATATTATCGCACTAGTCTTGAATAAAAAAAAAAAACTGAAATAAAATTTTCGTCATAGTCCAGAGCTTTTGATCTCATTGAAAACACGTTTCAAAAGAGTCAAAAATATTTCAACACAAAACTTTTAACTCACAGGACAATTATTATTTCGTATATATTTGATGCAAAAGTGTTGTGAACTAAAAATTATTTATTATATATATGGGGGTTACAAATTTTACTGGTACCCCGTTTTGATGCAGATCCTATTGTAAGAATAAAACCTACTATTGTCCGGGCCATATAAGAGAGGGTCCTACATAACCCTAGATTGGCCCGAACAACAGCATGTTTTGTCCTTACAATAGTAGAGAAAAGCTACCAGTCCTTATCGTGTGAGCTGGTAGCTTTTCTCTACTATTGTAAGGACAAAACATGCT